TTTTCCTGGTACTGGGAATCAAACTCACGACCTCACACTTGCCAGGCAAGTGCTGTGCCACTGAGCTAAATCTCCAGCCCTGGAAGGAAGGTAAGATTTTTTTTTTGTCTTTTTGAGACAGGGTCTCACTATGCAGTTCAGGCTGGCCTTGAGATCACTTTGTAGCCCAGGCTGGTCTGCAGCGATCCTCCTGCCTCAGCCTCCCGAGTACTGGGATTACAGGTGTGTGCCACCATGCCCGGCTCATGAAGTTTTTATGGGAAGCCTTTTGTGTGCCAGGCACAAGGCCAGGGATCAGGGATGGAGACAGATATTTTTTCCCGCTGAAGACTAAGAAGCAAAGTCCTGGGCAAGTGCTCTACCAGGGAGCTGTATCCCAGCTCAACATTTTTCTGAGCCTTCCATGATTCTAGGGGTGAAACTGAGAGTAGAGATATGTCTAGAGATATGTCTTAGCTACATTCTCCAGGCTGAGACACAATTCCTCACCTACTATTTAAAGGAGGAAAGGGTTTACTTTGGCTCACAGTTTGTAGAGGTTTTAGTCTGTAGTCAGTGGGCTCCGAGGCAGGGTGGCATGGCAAGGGGGCCTGGCAGAGGGGCCTGGCAGGGGAGAAACAGCAGCTTATGGCACGGTCAGCAGGAAGCACAGAGGGATCAAGGGGGGAGGAGGAAGGTGGACCATGCCCCCACAGATGAGTATCGTATCGTGCCCCATGATCCATTCCCCTCCTAAAACCCCGCCTATGAATGCACTAGGCTTTGGAGGGAGCCCTAGTTATAAACCATAACAGGATACTCACCTCTAAGATCTCGCTAAAATGTGGCCAAGACAGGCCTGAGTCTTCCGTGCTTGAGCTTAAAAGTGGGACTGACAGCTTAGAAGTGCTCATGCTATGGATACTGTCCTGGTGTTGGTCCTGGTTGGGGGGTGCCCCGGAGGTTCCAGGCCACCTTTAACTGTGTTACCTGGTGGGGGTCGGTGCAGAAAGGGTGGGAGGCGGTGGAGGAGAGGGGGCTTCCACTCAGGAGAAGGCTTTCCCGAGTGGAGCAAGGACCAGGGCCAGCTCAGTTGGTGGGGAGAGGTGGGAGGGGCTGGACAAGCTGGCCAGGAAGGGTGAGGATGGAGCCCCCATGTCCTGAGAGATGGGAGGAGAGGGAGCCCATGTGTTTAGAAGAAATTGCTATGAGTTTAAAAGAGAGCTTCTCAGTCAGTGTTGTCCGCAGTCATTTTGGAGGCTACTGGGATGGAACCCACAGCCTCATGCATGCTAAGCATTGGCTCCGCCATGAACTGCACCCTTCTCCCATGAAACTTATTGAGATTTAATATGACTGAGATGTTACATGTGCTTGCGTGTGTGTGTGTGTGTGTGTGTGTGTGTGCCCGCATGTGAGCGTGCTGTGATTAACTCACTGAATCCCCTAGCATGTTATCACCCTGGGAAAAGATGAGACGCACACTATAAAGTCAGTAGAAGGAGGACTCATGAGATTGAGGAATGTCAGGGGGCTTTGAGACTCCCGGGTTCAACAGAAGGGTAGAGGGACCTGTGTGCTGTCCCAGGGGCGGGGACCCCAGGGGAGTGCTGAGTGGTGATGCCCGGACACAGAGTGCTGTCAGACTGGTCACTGAGGAAATTAGCAAGCCGCCGTCTGAAACAAGGCAAGGCGTGACCTAAGGCAGCAGACTCATGCATATTTCAAAGTTCCTGTTAAAACTTTTTGGCTAAGTGTGGTGGCGCATACCTGTGGTCCCAGTACTTGGGAGGCTGAGGCAGGAGGATCTCCTTGAGTTTGAGGCCAGCCTGGGTTACAGAGTGAGACCCTGTCTCAAAAAAACCAACAACAACAGCAACAGCATCAGCAACAACTGCTCTCTGTGTGCTGTGTGTGCAGGAAGCTGACGTGTGTGTTTTTCTAAACATAGGTAATTTTTGTGCTTCCAACATGGGGCACAAGGTGGTGGTGTTTGACATCTCTGTCGTCAGAGCCTTGTGGGAAACACGAGTGAAGAAGCATAAAGCCCGGCAGAGGAAGGAGGCGGAGCGGCTGGAGAAGAGTGCGCTGGAAAAGTAGGGGTCGCTCTTGGGGCTCGGCTCCCTCAGTGGCTTGGCTGGAAAGGACGCAATGTGACGGGGGGAAGCCGGAGACGTGGTGCGTGCCAGGCGCGGCCTGTGTCCTGTGATCAGGCGCTCAGGCCCCGGCTCTCCCCAGCTCAGCTCCCTGGGATTGAGACCCGGGCACCTGTGCCAGCCTGCGCTGTCAGGAGGAAAACCAGAAAGCCCACCAGTGTGGTGCTGCATGCCTATACCCCCAGCACTCAGGAGGCTGAGGCAGGAGGATCGCTGCAAGTTCAAGGCCAGCCTGGGCTATATGGCGAGACCCTGTCTCAAAACCAAAACCAATACCGAACAAACGAAAAACTCCCAAATGAATATGAATATATATTCCAAATATATATATATATGAATGTGAATATATATATTGGAATTGGAGTATATATATTCCAAATGTTCCTGCTCCCTTCAGCGTCATGGCAAGGATGAAACCCCGGCAATAACTAAGTAGTGTTTTTTTAGAGCAAACACTCCACTTACGAAGGTAACATTTGCACCCAAACCTGGGAGCCAGCCCTGCAGAGCTCTGAGCACAAGGAGTCCAGGCAGACAGAGTAACGTAATATTATTTCAGAGGAAAGGGTAGTTAAATCCATGGGTGATTTTGGCAGTCATTGTAGCCAGACATTCAACCTAACCCACCTCCTCTGTCTTAAGTCGGAGGAACCAAGATCCACAGAGGGACCAGGCTTCCCCTGCATCCCGGGGCAGGAGGCAGGAAGAGGGTTGGGCCGGTGGCTGGTGGTGGACCCCAGGAGAGTAACCGTGGCTCCCTGCTGTCCCAGGATAAAGGAGGAGTGGAACTTTGTGGCCGAGTGCCGGAGGAAGGGCATCCCCCAGGCCCAGTACTGCAAGAATGGCTTCGTGGACACCAGCGTCAGGCTTTTGGACAAAATGGAGCAGGGCTCCCTGGCCAGGCAGAGCTCGAAGGCCAAGGACGGGGCCCGACGCAGCAGCCCGTTTGTGTTTGAGCTCTGCGGGGAGCACTGGAAGGTGAGTCCAGATGTCTCTCTCCCTCCCCAATAGTAAAACAGCCCTTTGCCTTTACCATCCTCAGCTAAATGCCTGGCCCTTCTAAACCCCTGGCTTGTCCCAGGGCTGTGGAGGGGCGTGGTGGTCCCTGCAATACCCTGCTCCAGCTGCCCGGTCCTGTGATATTGAGGCCGGGCAGAGAGGCCCCTAGTTCTTTCCTGGGGGTTTACAATGGTGTCCTGGACCCCCTCCCCCGACCTGCAGCCTGGCCTAGGGAAGCATCACCCAGATGCCTGTGACCTGCTGCCCCTGTAGAAGCAGCACCTGGGTGCGGCGCTCAGTCTGCACAGTCAGGAAGTTGCCGGGGGCATAGGAGCTGGTTCCGGCCCACCTCTGCAGGGCAGGATTCTCCAAGGACTCAGTGAGGACTCAGTGTGAATAAACGGTTCTTCAAACCCCTTTGATATCACTTCCCTTAGTCTCATCCCTGCAATGAGCAGGTATTCGGGCTGGTAAGGTCTTGATAAATTGCTCCAGGGTTGGCTAGCATTTGCCACCCTCCTGCCTCAGCCTCTCAGAGTGCTGGGATTACAGGAATTTGCAACTGCCTGGTCTTTTGATTAAAGGTCATTTTCTAAGCCTTCCGTAGAATCTTTTATTTATACTATCAAGTTCTTTTTTCCTTTTTGCAGTACTTGGGATTGAACCCAGGGCCATCACACTGAGCTACATCCCCAGCCTTTTTTTTTCTTAAATTTTTAACCTTGAGACAATGTCCAACTAAGTTACTAAGTTCCCAAGGCTGAAGTGGAGCTTAGTATCCTCCTGCCTCAGCCTCCCAGCGTAGTAGGATTTCAGGTCATGCCACCATGCCTGGCTGATCCATAGCTTTTTTGGGAGACATTTTCTTCTTTCAGCTTGCTTTGGCTTTGAGGGTGTCTGTCCTGATCTTTATGGGAGGGCTTTTCCTGAGGGTCTGGAGATCCTGGGCTGCTGGAGCCCTAGGCAGCTGACTGAGTGTCGAGTGTGTGTCCAGTGCAGGTTTGGTTCTGAGGATGTAGCTGTAGGGTTTCCATCTCCCTGGTGCCTCCCTTCCCTGGAAGTGCCTGGTTATGATTTGTCTGGAGCTGTGAGGACCCACAGTGAAGGACCCACTCACTTTCTGGGGCAGAGAACTGAGAGAGACAATCTCAGTGTTATGATTTGGATCTTAAATGTCTCCTAAAGGCCCCAGTGCTAAAGGCTGGCTCACTAGTTGTGGCCCTATGGGAAGTGGTGCCTTTAAGAGGTGGAGCCTCATGGAGGAAGTTAGGTCATGGGGGCGTGGCCTTGAGGGTCTATGAGACTTGCCTCTTCCCCCTCTCTACCTGCTTCCTGGCCTCCATGAAGGAAGCAGCTTTCCCCTGCCACGCAATCCTCATCTTGTGCTGCCTTGCAGGGACTTAGAGTAACCAGGGCAAATGACCCTGGCTCTGCAAGTGCCAGGCAGAGCAACCCTTTCCACCTTTAAGTGGTCTGCCTTAGGCATTTTGTCACAGCAGTGGAAAGTGGACTAATACATTGAGCATTCATCATCTGCTTGTTCCTTCCCTGACCTCTGCTGTGCCTGAGGGAGCACAAGGACTCTGTTAACCTCATCCAGGGAGGCACCACAGCTCCTGAGTTCAGAAAGGCCCTTGCTTGTCTTGGTGCTTGGCTGTCACAATATTGGACTTTTATTTTAATTAACTAATTAATTTTTGGTACCAGAAATTGAACTCAGGACCTTGCATTTGCCAGGCAGGCACTTGTGCTGCTGAGCTATATCCTCAGGCAATATTGGAAGTTTAAACAAGGGGTCCAGTTTTCATTTTGCACTAGGCCCTGTGGAGGACACAACCAGTCCTCAGTTAAGTGATCCATGTGACATTCTGGGCTTAGTTTTCCTCTTTCCAGTGGGCCTTGGTAGTGCTCCCCTTGTCTGTCCCGTGGTGCTGTTGTATAGATGATCTTCAGTGGAGGGACTTGCCTAGGTGAAAAGCCTCATCTTCACAGCCAGCGATGACCAGGAAGCGTGTTAGAAGTACCGAGCACTAAACCAAAGGTTCACTGCGGACTTCCTGTTCCTCCTTCCATGGGACCTGACCGCGTGCCTGTGGAGTTGCCCCCGCTCCCTGTGCTGTGCCCAGGCTTTGATGGGGTGCCACACGCAGCCTCATGAGGCCAGGTGCCCGGCATCCTGCCCTGCAGTGGGTTTGGGAATCGCTTGGCGAATCAGATTTCTTCAGCTGCACAAACAGCACCCCTGAACCCTTGTAGTGCTTTCAACACCTTCTCAATCTCAGCCCAGGATGCCCAGGAATCCCTGGGGACCTCTGCGCTCCTCCCCGTCACTTCAGAAACCATCACCAGTGGCTGAGGGTTCTTTCGGTCGGTTTACATAGAAATCCCTAGGCCAAGTGTAGCTCTTTCAGTGTGAGGAGCGTGCCGGCAACACTCAGCTCTCTGTGTTAGCAGCCCTCTTTGCACTCAGAGCTGGCCGCTCCCTGCAGACCAGGACCTCGTTAGGAGTGAAGGCAGCAGTTCCATCCTCCTCCGTCTTTCTCCATCTTGACTGCCTTCTGAGCCAGCTCTTGAGCTCCAGCGCAGCCTGTGCTACTCAAATAGAGCTCACAAATAGGTAAACCCGCCACACCCAAACAGGCTCTATTAGGGAACAGTGCGGGGACCAGCCCGCCGAGAGCAGGGGACGTGGCTCTTCCAGAAGGTGGGCTCTCACCGTGCACAGACTTTCCATGTCGCCGTGGGTGCAGGAGGGGCCCCTCTCTGACCCGGCCGAGCATGGCTGTAGCGGGCTGGATTCATGAGGATAAACCACAGCATATGTCTCCCTGGGCGGCCGTGGGGCAGGGGACACTTCTGTCCTATCTCAGTGCCAGGGCCTGAGGACACGGTGCGCCCAGGAAGCTGTGGAGCCTGGGCCGGAACCCAGGGCTCCCCAGCACCAGGTTTCTGTGCTCACGGGACTTGATTTGAAAGATAGCATGCCTTGGAAATAGGGCTGGTTGCTCCCGTGAGATCAGTGACAGCTGCGGGTGTCTTTGTTTTCGCTGGGAGTGAAGTCTGGTGCGCTCAGGTTTGCTGTACTGCTCTGTTTTTTTAGAATAAATGCGTGGCTCCCCCAGGAGCTGCTCTGATTGCTGTCTTCTGTCCTGTTACAGGAGCTCCCTGACTCGCTGAAGGAGCAGACGCACCTGAAAGAATGGCACATAAGCAACACGCTGATTCAAGTCATTCCCACATACATCGAGCTGTTTCAAGCCATGAGAATCCTGGATCTGCCAAAAAACAGAATCTCGCATCTTCCAGCTGAAATTGGTATGTTACTGAGCGGGAACCTGCAGGCCTGTCGTCTGGGATAAGCAGGTAGCTGTTGGGCAGATGACCCGCAAATCCCATGTTTCCTCCTGTAGTGACCATGGGACTGCTGGGCAGGGCTCCTTCCATGTTCCCGAGCTGCTTGCTTGCAGTGTCCCCTTTGGGCTTCTGTACCGTGTTCTCACCTACATAAGTCAGCACATCCAAGCCTTTGCCAGTTGTGTAGAAACTAGAAGTCTCGTGAGTGAGTGAGCACTGCCTTGTTTAGAACCTTTTGCTTATTTTCTTTTAGCGTACTGTCATAGGCGCAGAATGAATCTGTTCTATGTGTATGTTAGTCATTTGATTTACAATGTTTTCTGTTTGGTGTGTGGTTGGTCCTGGAGATTGAAACCTGGGCATCATTCATTCTAGACGTTTTGCTTTTCCTCCTTCTCCTCCTTTTTTTTCTTTTCCTTCTCCTCCTCCTCCTCCTTTTTTTTTTTTTTTTTTTTTTTTTGAGACAGCATCTCACTATGTAGTTCAGGCTGGCCTTGAGCTCACTAAGTAGCCCGGGCTGGCCTTTTAGGGTGATCTGCCTGCCTCAGCTTCCTGAGTGCTGGGATTACAGGTGTGCATTATATCTTTTTGGTTAATCGGAAGTTTATGATTCTCAAGCATTTCATTGTTGAGTTGTGTCATCTTAAGATGAAGCCTGCAGTGGCCATGTTTGTCTGTCTTTTGCTTGGGGTGTGAGGACCGAAGGTGTAGGGGTGGCACAGGCTCTTTCATTCCCATAATGCCCGCCCCAGGCCCTGGGGAGTGGTGGAAGAGGTAGCAGAAGGCAAGGTAGTGTGGGTGGAGGGTGGCTTGTCTCTCTGGCATTTGTTCATGTCTTCCTGGGTGTGAATCCCATGATGCCCTGCTCACACTTTAACCTGGGGCGGTATCGGAGCTGTTTATGCAGCTGCGAACTCTGTGGGGTCAGGCGACTTCTCCTCGCTGTTTGCTGTGAGAGCAGGGGCTTCTCCAGCTCGGTTGTCCTTCAGCTGTGATGCACCTGTGGACAACATCCCCCAGGCCACCTGTGTCTCCCTTTGTGGACTTGGCCAATAGGCTGTCCCCGTCGGGAGTCTTAACTATCAAGCAGGAACAGGCCACTTGTAGGCTGGGAAGCGGGGAGAAAGTGCAGCCCAGACCCGGGTAACTGCTCTGTGTCCTTGCCCGGTGCTGGGAGGGATGAGAAGGACCCTAGAGTTCCCTGACAAGTGCTATCTTTGACATGAGACGGGGTCACACAGGTCGGAGAGAGCAGGTTCCGTGACATCGGCGGATTCAGCCGCCGCCATTAGCTGTCTACTTAGGAGACTTTGGCAGCCTGGCCGGAAGCCAGAGCCAGAACCTGTTTCCAGGTTATTTTGGGACAGGTTCATGGTGAATGTGATAACCAGGCACAGTTTCTGAAGATGGAGTCCCCTGGAAAGTCCTTTCCAGGCAGAAGCCTTACAGACCCGAGAAGCCACCGTGGTTGAGCCTTACTCAGGCGTCCTTGTCATCTCTTCGGCCGGCTTGGGAATCAAGGGGCCAGCGGCAAGCTGGGCGTGGGGGGTGGACTCCCCCCACCGTATTCACAGTTGTCTCAGATTTTTTTTTTTTTTTTTGGTTTTGGTTTTTCTCCGGTACCGGGAACTGAACTCACGACCTTGCACTTGCCAGGCAGGCGCTTTGCCGCTGAGCTAAATCCCCAGCCCCCTGTCTCAGATTTTGTACTCTACTTATTTTTGTTGATCTCTTAACAGATCTGACTTGATGTATTGCCAGCTGAGTGCCGGTTCTTTTCTTGAGGCGTGTGGGTCGGGGAGAGAGGAGGTACCTTGTACCGAGGGGAGGACAGTGTGTGTGATTTGGGGTGCTCTGCTGATCTCTCTGCTCTTCTGTCTCCTTGTCTACAAAGTGGGGACCAGAGTGTGCCTTATTTATCCAGCTGTGGTAAGACCCAGGTGTCTCTCAGGGCTTGGCGTGCTCCCCTCCTCTCCCTAGCAGGCTGTTTTCCTTCAGGGCCTCTGGGCACTTGACACAGGAAGCTGTTGCCATGGCACATGTTGGAGGTCACAGGAGGTCGCCACCCTGCCAGTACTGCAGGCCGGATGGGAAGCATCCTGTTTACCTCCCTGCACAGGACAGATGTGGCCGAACAAGACCTGGGTGTGAAGCCAGGCGCAGGTCTCTCGTCACACTGAAGTCCTGCTTGGCTGTCTGGATGTTCGGCTTTTACAGCAGAGGAGACTGGAGCAGAGAGAGTTCATGACTATTCCGTGTATCTGTGTCACACGGCCAGTCAGCGACACGGCCAGCTTGTCCATCAGCAAGGCTGATTAGTTTAGGTCAATTGCTCTGGTCTTTCCTGGCACCGGTGGCATTCGGTCTGCCCCCCCCAGGATCTGGCGTGTGTCACCCCGGGGGTCCGACAAGGAAGCCTTGAGCCAGGCGGGTGGCAGAGGTGGGTGGTCCAGCATGGGGAAGGACGAGCGGGCAGCCCCTGCTGAGAGGAGAAGGAAACCGAGCACACGGTTCTCCTATCTCAGAACTCAGTGAGCCAAACCTTCTCTCCAGTCACCTTCTGCAGGTGTCTGTCTCCAGGCCTGTCCCAGCCCTGCCAGGCTTCCCTCTATTCCAGGCCTGGGAGGTCACAGCAAATCCCTGACACTGTCCCTGAGCCCAGGAGGTGGCTTGGTGTAGAGAAATACTGTGTGGCCAGAGTGACGCGTGTCCCTTCCGCCCCCAGCCTCGGGAGGTCCTGCCTCATTTCCAGGGCGGACCCAGTAGTCTGATTGGCTGTGCGCGGCTGGATGGGGCACCCTGGCTCCGCATGTAAGTGTTAGATCTACGTGTCAGTTTCTATAAAAAGCGTACGGGAATTTTGATAAGGATTGTGCTGAATCTAGAGGTCAATTTGAGAAAAGCTGTCCTTGTTTTATTCATCCATGTTTGTGGTACACGATTACATTCATCACGGAGAGGGATAAATCTCTCAATTCTTATTTCATCTTTTCCTCTCTCTTCCATTCCTCCTCCCTCCACCTCTTGGTCTTCTCTTTTGCAAAAAATCTATCTCCCATTTCCTATTAACTATTTTTTATTGTCTTCTTTAATTTATCTATACGTTGGGTTTCTCACATAGGAGAAGCCATGCTATATTTAAACGTGTGTCTGATTTATTTCAGTTACATTTAGGGCCTCCATGTGCATCCATTTTCCTACAAATGACTCCGAGTTATCCTTCTTTATGGCAGCGTACTAGTCCATTGTGTGTAAACACCACATTTTCTCTATCCATTCATCTTTTGATGGACATGTAGGCTGCTCCCAAGATTTAGCTGTTATGAGTTGTGCTATAAACATGGATATTTATAGATCACTGTAATATGATGTCTTTAACTCTTTAGGGCAGATGCCTACAAGGGGAATGGCTGGGGTGAGTGGGATTTCTAGTTTTAGGTTTTGAGGACTGCTCGTACTGATCTCCACAGTGGCTGTACTAACTTATGTTCCCACTGACAGTGCGGAAGGAAGAGTTCCTCTCTCCCTGCAGCCTCAGCAGCATTTGTTATTATTTGATTTCCTGACGATGGGCAGTCTCTCTAGGGTAGGGTGGAATCTCAGCGTTGTTTTAATTTGCTTTTGTCTAATGGCCAGAGACAGCCATATTTTTCCATGTATTTATTGGTCATTTGTATGTGTTCATCTGAGAACTGTGTTCACTTCGGCTGCCCGTGTTTTGGTTGGGTCTCTTGCTTTGCTGTGTCAGATCACACCGTCTCTGCCAACTCTACTTTCCTTAATTATGTTGAGGACAGGTCCTCTGGCACACAGACTTGGACACGCGGAAGCTGGGGAGATCGTCATGTGATCCTCTGCCCCCTGTGCAGGGAGTAGTTTATCTCATCCTCTTCTCCTCTCTGTTCTTCCAGCCAGTCACCGACTGGGAGGCTTGCGGGAGTCAGGTGGCTGGTAAGAAGGCTCCTGGTTTCCACGTCACTAGTGCTGTCTTCTAACACGAGATCCAGGAAAGCTGATCAGAAGTGGCCCTGCCCCAATACACTGTCTTTGAGCTCTTTACTTTCTTGTTTATAAAATGGCAAGAAATTTTTATATCAGGTGTTTATTCTGCAAAAGTAAATAGTAATTTTGGTTTTCTAATTTAAAATTAAAAACTTAAGAATGATGCAGCATTCAAGTCCTTAGAATACCTATGGCACGACAGTTAGAGTATTCTGTATATTTGCTCTTGTGCTGGTTTCTAGTTTGGAAATGGAGATGTATGTATTCAATCAAGAATCAGAATTGGGAGACGCTATTTTCCAATCAGCCTGGCTACTTCCTGTTTCTGGCATACACTCACTTCCTGTTTGTGGAAGCGACTTCTACCATATTCTTGAGGGAGCATGATATGTCATAGTTAATGCAGACACGAACCAAAGATATGTGGTAAATCGGTGCACCCTGTAAACAACCCGCCTGTCTGACTCACCGCACACACGTCCAGCTGACCTCTTAGCTTTGTTCTTGTTCCTAAAAGACCCCGAGGGACCTGCTCAATGGAGATGACCTCTTTCTGATGCCAGGTCGTCTGCAGAACCTGAGAGAGCTCAATGTGAGTTTTAACCACCTGACGAGCATTCCGGCCGAACTGGGGGACTGCACGAGTCTGGAGAGACTGGACTGCTCCGGGAACCTGGACTTGATGGAGCTCCCTTTCGAAGTAAGAAATCAACCTGCCTGCACTGACATGGATTGATCAGTAATATCCCAAGACATTTTAAATGATGAAATCCATCACAGTTTTCCTGACATTTTGGTCACCCTATACCTGCTGTCATAAGGTCTTTAAAATAGACTCTGAATTTAAGTCCAGAAATCCTATCACATCCAATCCTATCAAAAGAAAACCAGGCAAGACATCCTATTTTCACAGAAGACATTTTATATTTTATTTATTTATTTATCTTTTTGAGATAAGGTTTCACTCTGCTGTTCAGGCTGGCCTTGAACTCAGTTTGTGGCCCAGGCTGGCCTCGAACTCACAGTGATCCTCCTGCCTCAGCCTCTCGAGTGCTGGGAAGACATTTTAATTTAATGCCTGTTGTATATAATACAGATCCCAATTTATTTATCTACCAGGATGGAGCTGGAAATAAATAAAGGGAGTGAAAAGTTTTTTTCATACACTGAAAATGGAACCTGTGGATGACTGAAGTTGTCCTACAGATAGGATGTAAGAATGCATTAAGTTTTAAAATATTCATTAGTTTCTTTTGGTGTATACGTGGGGAAATGAACTCTGTTAGCACCTACGTCGTCCCAGGAGATGCCCGACAAGTGTCCTGGGGAGGGTGCCTGCTCCAGGGTCAGGGTCACCGTCATAGCCCCACCCCTCCTTCAAGCTCCAGGGCAGGGATGGCTCGGTCTTGCCCGGATGTTCAGCCCTGGAGGATACCGTGCGGTCCCGACCTCTCTTGCTCCCACACCCCATGTCCAGTCCTGGATGGCCCTGTTGACCCCACCCTTTGGGGTATGTTTTATTTGACCAGTTTTGGTCACCCCTTCACTCACACTCCAGTCCCAAGCCAGGGGCTGATACCTGGACAGAGGAGACATCTGGATGGGGGAAACATCGGGATGGGGCAGTGGCCTTCTCAGCTGGTCTCTGTCCCTCCTTTTCCCCTAACCCCTTTCACAGCAGTGTTATGTCCATGCCTTGAAGTCCAGCCATCCTGTGTGCACAGCTCACCATAACTTGGGGAGGACCATCTGTGCCGCTCTCTTTGTGTTTTTTTTTTTTTTTTTTTTTTTTTTGTTTGTTTGTTTTTGTCTTTCTAAGACAGGGTCTCCCTATGCAGTTCAGGCTGGCCTTGAACCTACTTTGTAGTCCAGGCTGGTCTTGAACTCGCAACAATCCTCCTGCCTCAGCCTCCTGAGTGCTGGGGGTACAGGCCTGTGCCACCAAGCCCGGCTGGACAGCGCTCTTTGAAGGAGAAATTGCCTCCATCTTGGCTGAGCCTGGCCCTGTTTTCATGCATTGATGTGTGCAGAGCTGGGTAGGACTTTTCCTTATCCCTTCAACTGGCTCTAAGCAATGCAAATTGGTCCAGCTGAGGAGCTGATGTGTAGTCTTTGAAGCAAGGTGACAGGACAGTGTTTCCCCACCCCATACCTCCCAAAAAGCATGTCTGAGCCCCAGGACACAGAAGATTACACATCAGAGCTGAAGCACCCACCCCAAGGCATTAGATACTACCTCAATTGTGTTATACAGATATCTCCTTCTGCACATCCTTGTCTCTGCACGTTGCAGAGGTGACTTCAGACCACCTACTTACCCCAGCTCACAGCACTCACCTGCTTCCTGCCATTCTCAGTCACTCATCCTCAAGCCATTCCTTTCTTCATGAATTAATAAAACCCGGTTCAGCACTGGGTCGAGGCCTTTGTTCCGGGTAGCCACCATCTTAGCTGGACTGAGAACCCCTTGGCTCCCCACAACTACAAATATGCCTTAGTGTCTCTGTTCTCACCATGGGTTGCCCTGGAAGTGGTGGATTGGAATTAACTCACTAGGAATCCAGTAGCTGTTCCATGGGATTACAAATACAAACTTCCCGGCCTGCAACAAGGAGCAGGAAGGGCTCATGACAGTAACTCAGCTTTAGGACGTTTCTGCTGCCTGCCCTCAGATTGGTCTTTGTCTGCTTCCTGTTAATCCTTGTTCCCACTCAGCACCAGGCAGCTGGGAATCTATTTTATGTCTCTGCATGTTTGATCTTTTCAGGAAATTTCATGTCGACAGAGCCTGGCTTTTTCCACATTGCACATGTAGAGCAAGGAAGGGTCTGAGCCTCGTCCTGTTGCCCGTGGAATCATGGTCTTTCTGGGACTTTTCATTGAAAAGATTTTCCCTTGTCCCTTGCATTAGCAACTTTGCTCATAGATCAGTTGAACCTTAACATAAAGATTTCTTTCTGGAATCTCAATTCTATTCTATCGTGCTATTTTTCTATCGTATGTTAATTCTACATTGTCTTGATGATTGTGACCTTGTAATGTTTTGAACTTGCATACTGTCCAGCAAGCTCTCCAGCTGTGTCTTTCTTTTTCAAAATCGTTTTGTGTATTCTAGATCCTTTCATTTCTATATAAATCTTAGGGTCAGTGCCAGGCACAGTGATGTGTGCCTGTCTGTAATCCCTGCCACTAAGGAGGCTGAGGCAGGAGGGTTGGAGGTTTGAAGTCAGCCTGGAAAATTTAGCAAGACTCTGCCTAAAAATACAATTTAAAAAAAGGAATTGGCCTGGCAATTAAAAAAAAAGCCTACTGAGATTTTATTGAGGATTGTATTTAATTTACAGATCAGTTTGGGGAAGAATTTCATCTCTGAAAACATAATATCTCTCATTTATGTAAACCTTTAATTTTTCTTAACAGTGCTTTATATTTTTTAATACATAACCTCTTTCTTTAATTTGTTTATTTCTAAGTTTCTAGGGTGTGTTGTGAATGGAATTGTTTTCTTATTTCATTTTTAGTTAGGCATGAGGTTATAGAAACAAAATAGATTTTTGTACATTGATCTTATACTCTGTAATTTTGCTTTTCTTTCTTTCTTTTTTTTTTTTTTGTAACACTGAGGATTGAATTCAGTGCTTCCACATGGACCTTCTTTTTTTTTTTTTATATAGTTTTTTGAGACAGGGTCTCACTATATAGCTCAGGCTGACCTTGAACTCACTATGTAGCCCAGGCTGACCTTGAACTTATGGCCATCCTCCTGCCTCAGCTTCCCAAGTGCTGGAACTATAGGTGTGTGCCACCATGCTGGGAGTTTCCAGCCATTTTTAAATTTTTATTTTGAGACAAAGTCTCACCAGGTCACTAAATTGCTCAAGTGGGGCTTGAACTTGTGGTTCTTCTTCCTCAGCCTCCCAGAGTGCTGGAATTACAAGCATGTGCCCCCAAACACTCTTGATTAGTTCTAGATTTTAATGTGGATTCCTTGGTATCCTGTCAACTGCAAATAAAGATACTTTTCCTTTGCACTTTCTGATCTGGATGCCTAATCTCTCCCTTCCTCTCTCCTTGCTCCCCACTGGCACCAGCTAGGCCTGTTGTACAATGCCAAGCACAAGCAGTGAAAGTGAGCGTCCTCGCCTTGCTGCTCCTGGAGGAGAAGTCATCCCACCTGTCACGCTGTCCTCTGTCAGTATCTATTGGTTTGAGTCCTGGCCTGATGAGGTCTGTTTCTCTGTTTGTTTTTTTTTTTTTGTCTTTTTGAGACAGGGTCTCGCTATGCAGTTCAGGCTGGCCTTGAGCTCACTGTGTAGCCCAGGCTGGTCTTGAACTCACAATGATCCTCCTGCCTCAGCCTCCTGAGTGCTAGGATTACAGGCATGCACCACCATGCCCGGCCTCTCTGCTTGTTTTTAATTGAATTTTGTCAACTGCTGTTCTGCACCTACTGATATAATCATGTGGATTACCTCCATGTCTTTTATTCTATTAATATTATATACTGATTGATTTTTAGATGTTAAACCAACTTTGCATTCCTTGGTAAATCCTTCCTGTTCATGGGGTATCATCCTTACTATTTGTTGCAATATTTAGTTTGATAATCCTTGTCGAAAGCTTTTGTGCCTGCGCTTACGAGGGCATTGGCTTGTGGTCTTGTTTATTTGTGATGCTGTTGCCTGACTTGGCATCAGGGAAATGCTGGCCTCATAGGATGCCCTGCAGTGTTCTCTTCTCTGTTTACTGGAGGAGTTTGTGTGGGTTGGGATTATTATTATTATTATTATTATTTTTACTATTTGAATTACCTATGAAGCTATCTGGGCCTGAGGCGCTGTGTGTGTGTGTGTGTGTGTGTGTGTGTGTGTGTGTGTGTGTATGTGGGTACTTTTAAGTTACTTTTCAATTTCTTTGTTTGCAATGGACTTAATCAGATTTCCTGTTTATTCTTGAGTTAGTTTCAGTAGTTACTGTCCTTTTAAGAAATCCATCAGTTTTCATCAACGTTGCTGACTGTCGAATGCGAAGTGTTTGTAAGAGCCTCTTGTAATGCTTTTTAATTTCTCTGTGGGCAGCGGCGATGGGCCATCTTTCCCTCTGGAATTCAGTAGTTTGTGTCCTCTCTCTCTTCCTTTCTTTCTCCTTGGTTAATCCACTAATGGGTTTTTTGATTTTGTGATTTTTCTCACATAGCCAGTTTTTGGTTTCATTGATTTTCTCTATTCATTCTGTTTTGTATTTTATTGATTTTTCACTTCCACCTTTATTATATCCTTTCTTCTGCTTTCTTTTCATTTTAGAATCTAGAATTTTTGGTTGACGGTTTTTTCTTGTTTCCTTCAGCACACTGAATAGATGATTCCACTTCTGTTTCCCATTGTTTCTGAAGGAAAGTCGGCTGTCCCTGCTGTCAGTTCTCTCTCCTGCCTGTGCTGCGCCCCTGGAGTGGACTGGTCTCTGTCACACGGGAGGCCCATGGAGCATCTTGGGTGTGTAAAGTTGCTCATCAAATTTAGGAAGTCTTAAAAGACCCTAAAAAAAAAAAAAAAAAAAAAATTAGGAAGTCTTGGCAATTCTTTACCTCTGTTACTTTTCCTCCTGCTGTTTGTTTCTCTTCTTACCTCTAATACTTACTTGTTTTTTCTTTTAGACAGGAATCTGCTGCACATAGTCCAGGCTGGTCTGAACCTCATTATGTAGCCCAGACTAGCTTTGATCTCTTGATCTTCCTGCCTCAGCCTCTTGAGTGCTGGGATTACAGGTGCACAGCACTGTGGCTTCCTCTAGTATTCCTATACGTTGGTATATTGACACCTCACAGGCCTGACGCTTTGATAATTTTCTTCAATTCCTTTCTCTCCCTCTTCTTTAAACTGGGTAATTTTTATTTATCTATCTTTAGGTTCCCTCGTTCTTCTTCTGCCATTGTGGATCTAATGCTGAGCTCCTGTAATGAATTTCCAATGTCAGTTGTTTTCTTCTTTAACTCTAGAAGTTTTATTTCTCTCTAATTTCTATAGGCTGGTTGACAGTCCCCACTTGTTGATTCACTTAACCCTTGTCCTGCTTTGCGTTTCATCTCAGCACAGATACTTTGTCTTGTGTCCACCTCCGTCGCCTGCCCCCTCTACAGCTCTGGTCTTCGCCTTTTTCGCTCTTACACCCCCCACGCTCTGAACAGGACTCAGGAAGTGATGTGTAGTGGACACTTACTAAATATTTGTGAATGAGTGAGTGAATGGACAACTATCTGATGGATTTAAAAAATCTGAACAACTTGTACACATCTTCCTGTTCATAAGTCTTCCTTGGTTCCATTTCTAACCCATCCTTTAAAATCTAGCATATTGTTTACAGATCCCAGCTTCCCCTCTTGCCAACTCCAGCAGCTCTGTCCACTATGAAGCCTCTGGTTTCCTTAGATCTCCCAGCAAACGGGGACCCCCAACACCCCTAGCCCTTTGTGTTCCTCTGTACTCATTGTAGTTTTCGTGGCTTCATGAGGAAGTTTCTTACATAAATAATTGGTACAACCCTGATTTAAAATTCGAGTAAACAGCAAGTAGCACAGAAGACCTAAGAAAGGTGATGCAAAAGAAAAAACTATGATGGAGACAAAGAGCTTGACTTCCCAGCTACGTGGATGTTCTTGTGTGGATGAAAGTTCTGGGCACTCTTGCTGTCCAGTTTTGGTCTGTATGACAGGGGGATTTTCACACCAACATAACTACTTTTCAAAAGTTTTTATGATGATAGTGTTTTGTCCTTGATAAAAGTAGCTCATGAGAAAATTACTCTTATATTAAATCATTTATCTCTTTGCTAATTTAATGCTCTTGTGATTTTTCTTGTTCTAGTTTTCACAGAATTCTTTAACTGTTTTCTTTAAAAAATCCTTACTAAGTGATTTGACAGCCTCATGTTTGCATTTTCTATATTTATTGGGAAAAGCAAGGAAAAAAGATACTAAAGGTGATCCGATCCTGATTTTTCTACTCATGCAATAGGTCTGCAACACAGGCAGAGGTGGACCTGAATTATAAGCGCCTGAGACATTCACCACTCACTGAGTTACTGTCCTCACATTTTCCTAAGATCAACAAAAGTGAAATCAGGATGTGCACATGTTCCATAGGATGAGTTTGGCCCTTGGCAATGCGGAGTGGGACTCACCTGAAGCTAGAGAGAAGCGCAGGCCACCACTTTCTTTCCTCTGCGTTTCATTCCCCTGTCAGTTCAGCCGGCTCCACATTTCATAACAACGTTGAAAATGTATTTTGAGAAGCAGCCTAGATTTTATTTATGAACTCTCCAAATAAGTCAGTAGAGTGTTGCTTCTTCTGTGTTTTATGGTAACTACTGAACTGAGACAGCCAGACCTAGAGGAGAGATGCTTTTCTTACTTTCACACCCTAGAGCTGCATTGAAATAAAAATAGATTTCCCCTTGTATTTCACTTAACATGTTAAAAACAAGAATCACGGATACAAAACCTAACAGATTTCTGAGCATTTGCCATGTCACTTTACCAACCCAAATGTGGGTTCCCTTAGGATTTGTCAGGCCTGGCATGGTGGCAAATGCCTGTAATCCCAGTACTCGGGAGGCTGAGGCAGGAGGATCACTTCGAGTTCAAGGCCAGCCTGGGATATATAGTGAGAGACCCTGTCTCAAAAATAAAAATCAAACAAAGAAAAAGGTTTGTCAGCCTGGCTGATAATGTTACAGTCTTCAAGGCATTCCACCCTTTAGGGTTTGCACTTTCTGTCTTCTGTGACTTCGCACATGCTGTTCCCCTGACCCCTAGGTTTCCTCCTGTACCTTTCTTGGACCAGGAGCCTCAGGACCCAACTACAGTACTCCCTTTTACTTCCCTCTCTATGACACCTTTTCTTTTCTTTTTTCTGTTTTGAGATAGGATCTTGCTTTGTAGTTGTTTGGTCTTCAACTCACAGCAGTCCTCCTGCCTCAGCCTCCGAGTGCTGGGACTACAGGCGGGAAAATGCATCCATCTACAAGATGTTAGTCCAACTCAGTTCCCACTCTCCTGAGGGTAACCAGAATATTTTATTATTTCTTTCCAGTTAAGTAACTTGAAGCAAGTTACATTTGTAGATATCTCAGCGAACAAGTTCTCCAGCGTCCCGATCTGTGTCCTGAGGATGTCCAGTCTGCAGTGGCTGGATATCAGCTGCAACAACCTGAGCGACCTGCCGCAAGACATAGACAGGTAGCCCCTGGTGTGGAGGCGAGGTGTGTGCAGGAGTGCCTGGTGCCCAACTGTGTTCACGGTCTGTGCACGTGTAACACGCGAAGAGTTTTTACATCAGCTAATTTTCCAGAGTTTACATTTTCTGTGAAATGACAGAATACGGTGGTTTTCAATCTGCATCACTGTATTCATGTGTATATGCTGTTGGACACATCCTCATTGTCTTGGGGAATTTTAATTTGCTTTAGTCTTTCATAAAATGGCATAGTCAACTTCCATTATGTCAAGTCAACTTCCATTATGCTACAGAGAGAGAACAGCTCAACACTCAAACCAGGTGTGGTGGCACGCACCTGTCATCCCAGTGCTCGGAGGCTGAGGCAGGAGGATCACTGCAAGTTCAAGGCCAGCCTGGGCTACAGAGGGAGACCCTGTCTCAAAAACAAAGAAACAAACAAACAATACTCTGTCTTTAGATTATCAGTCAGGACATTTTTGTTAGTTTCATTTTTAATTAGACATAATCTTTCAAACAGAATCGACAGCCTTAGTTAGGTTTTCAGATGATCCCCTTGTGGTGAATGCATGTTTAAAAAATAACAGCTACATGGAAACATGTAGGATTGATTCGTTCACCAATATTATTAGGCTCTTGTTTCGTGGCCCCAGGGAGCCGGCTGGGTTTAAAGCAGTGAACGAGACACAGTTTGTGGCCTGAAATCTCCGCCTTTATTCATAAAGAAGCACAAGTAAGCTCTGAGGACACAGTGGCCAGCAGTGGGTGACTTCCGGCCCAGGTGACAGTCCCTTGACTCTTGTCCAAAGGTTGTACCCCGGTGCTGATTGGGCTCAGGAGACTAAGCAGGAATTGTTTCAGTTGGAATTGTTTAATTTGAAACCCAAGAAGAACTTTGTGAAATACCTGTCAAGATTCTGCTCATGACTGCCAGGAGAGTCTGGACAGGGGGTCACCAAGTTAGAATGAAATGGAGATCGGAACAGAGCTCCCTGGGGACACGTTTCCTTCATTTCCTCCTCACCTCGCAGCTTTATTCCTGTGTTCTTGTTAGCAGTAAGACGGGAGCAGAGGAGCTGTGCTTGGGGGCTGTAGGGAGAACAGAAGTGGCCTGAACGTCTTCATTCTAATGCTGACCCGGGTAGGATGGGCCTCCGGTGCCTGGAGAGCCCTGGGAGCGCAGGACACACTGGGAGGTGGGATTTCATATGCTACACAGCCCACGCATCCCGCTGCTACGTTTGTGTCTTTAACTGGCGATAAGCCTGTGCCAACTTAAAAGGAAGTGATGTCACTTGGCATGATTTTCTTTATTATTTAAAATGTGAAGCAATTTTTTTTTTTTTCCTGAATTTTTGGGACAAGGTCTCACTGTGCAGTTCTTCTTTTTCCCCACTATGCAGTTCAGGCTGGCCTTGAACTCACTGTGTAGCCCAAGCTAACCTTGAACTCTAGGCAATCCTCCTGCCTCAGCCTCCCGAGTGCTGGGGTCGCAGGTGTGTGCCTCCACACCTGGCTACAAATTTGTTCCTGCCCAGGCTGCATAGATGCCCTGAAGTGAGCAGGGTTTCCCCATTGCAAGGTCTTTGCTATTCAGGACACCTAGTGCTCTCTCAGACCCTTCTTCTTCTCCCTAGGCTGGAAGAGCTCCAGAGTTTCCTCTTGTATAAAAATGAGCTGACCTACCTTCCGTACGCCCTGCTCAACCTCAAGAAGCTCAGTTTGCTGGTGGTCAGCGGGGATCATTTGGTGGAGTATCCAAGTGCCCTCTGCGATGGGTCTTTGAGTTTAAAGTGAGTAGGTGCCCCATGTGGCCTGGTAGAGCTGTCCCCAGAAAGCAGGGCGAAGGGCCCTGGGTGCTGGCCACTGTCCCGAGTCGGATGATTCTTGTACTCTGAGAACCGGTGCCCTGGCCACCGCTCGGGGACTCTGAAGTTATTGACAAAGGGTGCGAGAAGGCAGTGCTGAGATGCAGCTCTGGACCCAGACACAGGGGGCTCTCACTAGAGGAGGGTCTGAGCTGCTAGCACTGGAGCAAAACTCTAGGAAAGAGATGACGGAGAACCCCAGAGCCCCAAACATTGGCTGTCAGCTGCCTTGGGGTGCAGCTGCTTGCTACTTGTGGCTTGAGGTGCAGGGACAAAAGCTGGGCTCCCTGATCCACGGTGTGCACACACAGAGAGATCGAGCACTGTTGAGGAAGCCTCCCCACTTGCCTTTTCCTTTTGGTGTCCTTGAGTCAACTGGTCAACCACCCAAAGCAAAAACAAACGAAAAAGCCCATCCACGTAAATGGGATACAAATAGACTGTAACCTGGGCGGAGAAATAAAATAGTCTTCCTTCCCTAAAGTGGGGCTGAAAAGCTTCAACTCCATCTTCCCCTAAAATGACCCTAAGGCAGTGGACAGCCAACATCTGTGGCTCTGGAGTTCCCTATCATCTCTACCCCAGGGCTTTGGTCCAACCCTAGCAGCTCAGAGCTTCCTGGACGAGAGGCTGCTCTAGTGAGAGCCCCCATGTCTGTGTCCAAGGCTGCCTCTGCTGGGACCCCGGTCACCGGTCGAAACCATTTCAGGGATGTTTCCCTGGGGTCCCCATTGCTCTTGCTGGTGAATTCACACTATCAGCACAGTGAGACTTCCTTCTCCCTGTCCTTGCAATAAGGTCTATGGCAAACAAGGAGACTGAATGCTAGGAAGAGAGGCCAGGCTTGCTTGGTGTAAGCAAAGGTTCAGTGGGGTGTAAGGCATTTCCTCCAGCCCTTGCCTCAGTGGTTGGCTGTGGCAGGGATGGCATTTTGGGGAGAGGAGGTGCTTGGCAAAGGCCAGCAGAACTCAGATCTAGTGCCCCTCCTGCATTTGGGCCCCTGGGGATAATCTTAATGGCTTTGCATTCAAGAATATTTTGGGGCAAAACTGTCCCCTAACTTCAGTGATTTCAAATGATGTCATCCTAGGACTTGGCAGTCTAAGAGGACTGGATTAAAGTCTTCTGAAATAATGAGAGCTCAATAAAAAGCCTATGTAGAAATATGCATAAAAATTAATAGGTTGTGGATTTTGGGAGAAATAATCTAGAGAAAAATAATGGAAGAAATGATATCATTAATAGTAATAACCAGACAAAATATCTAGGAAAAAAAGGATTCTCTTCAGTGAAATGGACTGTCTTGCCAAAGGAGATCAAAGAAGCCTTGAATATCTGGAAGAGCTGTAGTGTGTTAGTTAGCTTTCTGTCACCGTGACAGGAGAAAAGAAAAAAACTTGAAGGAGGAACGTTTCTGCTGGCTCACAAGTGCAGAGGTTCTAGTTCACGCCCATGCTTCTCGGCCTGTGGCGAACAGAAATGTCACGGCAGGGTGTGGTAGAGGAAAGCTCCTTAGTTCAGGGTGGCTGGGAAGGAGAGGGAGAAAGAGGAGATGGAGATTGGGGTGGGGGAAAGAGGGAGAAGAAGAGGAAGGAGGAGGAAGAAGAGGAAGAGGAAAGCAGACGGGGCAAAACATATCCTTCAAGGCCACTCCCGGTGACCTACTTCCGCTAACTAGGCCCACCCTCCCAAAATTTCCCATACCTTATGATAATGCTACCAGCTGGGACCACTCCTTTGGGAGATGTTCCAGATCCTAACTATGACACTTATTCTGTCTTTCCAGGTGGAAAGACCATAAAGATGTGATTATACGCAAGTGTAATATAATTGCAACCAGGACTCCAGTGGAATTTCTTCCTTGGAACTTGCAAAACCGATTTGAAAGTATTTCTAAAGCCAATTGTGGTGGTGCACACCTGTAATCTCAGCGTTCCGGGAGGCTGAGGCAGGAGGATGTCAAGTTTGAGACTAGCCTAGGCAACTTAGTGACTTACCAAGACCCTGTTTCAAAATAAAAAGAAAATTAATAAAAAAAAAAAAAGGGATGGGGACATAGCTCAGTGTAAAAACCCCAAGTTCAATCCCATAATGCCAGAACAAAACAATAAAACAAAACAAAACAATGCACTTCTGTAAAGAAGAAAGTGAAAGACAGGATAAATTTGAAAAGTGAGTTATGTGGCAGAACTTGCCTTATGAGGAATTGCACTGCGTTTCAAAGGGGTGGTCATCACAACGTCTTGATAATGGCCATGGTTCACAGATAAATTATTAGAAAAACAGGTTTTCCTCAAGTGGGAGACAGTGGAGACAGACGAACAGGCGACTGAAGGGCCACGTGTGTCGGGGGAAGGACCTGGGGAGGGGCTTCGGGGACAGAAACACACAGCCAAGGACAGAGGGAAATGGCAGACTTTCACGTTGATTTTATATCAGCTTTTCATGTTGGGTGACCCAGCCCTGCTCTTCTCCTTTGATATATGATACAGTGCGATCTAAACAAGCAGTGAATGTGTAAATTAAAAAGTGAGTATTACAGTAGAAGTCACACTGCCACGAGTCCCCCTCACAACCCTCCTCCTCGCCTCCAACACACTCATCACATCAGTCTGGCCTCTTCCTGCAGCACTTCTCGAAATCCTCTTTCCTGAGTGTCTTTGTGATCACAAATATGGTGACTGCTGCTGCCGGGTGCCATCCAATGGAAAGGCAGGGTCCTAAAAGCATGATGCTGTGTTCTCATCCACTTTATTCACTGGATCTCGCATGGTACAAGTCCTAGCTCTTCCTCAAAGTCAAAATGACCACGAAAGGTCAATGTTTTGAATCAATTCAGGATGTGGAGGCAGCCAGGACAGTGCAACTAAAGATACTCATGAAAGAGGACTCCGGAGCTGCTGCAGAAAGTGGCGAGAAGGATGGGATGAGCATATTGGAAGTAAAAGGGAGTATTCTGAGGGGGGGTTAATGGCAATGTGTCTTTTACTGTAATACATTTTTAAAAATTTAAACATTGACCATATTTTTATCCTATGTCATTTATATATTCTTTATATAGCTCTATCTATCTATCTATCTATCTACTATATTTCACTGCTTATAAACAAATGAGAGCATGGTAACACTATGAGATAGTTGGGTCTATAATTGCAACCAAAGACTGTAAGAGATTTCCAATTTTGTTTTTTTTTTTGTACCTTGCACTTGCCAGGCAGGCATTTGTACCACTGAGCTATATCCCTGGCCCGAGATTTCCAATTTTGAATTAAAATAATTATACCACCTTACACATTAAAACATCTTTATGAATCGTGAAGACAGAAGATCAAATGTGATTTCAATTTCTCTTTTAGCTCCTTTTTTGTAGTAGTAGCTCTTTTTTTTTTTGACAGGGTCTCACTATGTAGTTTAGCTTGGTCTTGAATTTACTAAGGCATCCAGGCTGACCTCATACCCATGGCAAGCCTCCTGCCTCAGCCTCCTGAGTGCTGGGATTGTAGGCATGCGCCCCCATGCCTGGCAGTAGGATTTCATCGTTTAAGAACTTCATTTCTGGGGCTGTTCTCTGAGTCCTTTGATGTCAGTGACTGTCGGACAGCGTTTGGCACCTTACAGAGTTCAGAGTTTGACAGAGAGCAAGTGTGGGTGTCCACTTCCTAGCTCCCTGTCACCAGATAGCTCCTGTGTCCCCGGGAGAGTTCTGGGCAACCTGACTCCCTGTTCTACCTGGGCTCCTGTTCCACTGCACGGTTAGGCTTGATAAGAGAGAACTTGGGGTCCAGAACCCCAGGGGTGGCCTCATGGAGCAGGGTCTGCAGGTGCTCTGTGTGATGGCGATATGACCTCTGTGCTTTCTTGAGTAGGTTTGTCAGCCTCGTGGACAATCCTATTGCTAAGCCTGGACCTGAGGACGACGATGAAATTGAGGAAAGCGAGCAGGACCGCCAGCATTTCGATAAGGAGTTCATGAAGGCCTACATCGAAGACCTTAAAGAGAGAGGTAGGTTGCTCATATTTGAAATTCTTTAAAATGGATATGCATGGCTGGGGAGATAGCTCAGTGGCACAAGCGCCTGCCTGGCAAGTGTAAGGTCCTGAGTTTGATTCCTGGTACCACAAAAAAAAAAAAAAAAAAAAAAAAAATGGATATGCCGAATTCTACTCACTCCTGCAATATGTTTATTGTGATAAGTCAAATGGATGGAAACATCACTGATTAGAGGCAGGTTACTCTGAAATCATTCACCTCCCCAAACAAGGATACATTTCCCTAAAATGAGAAATTTTCCTAGTGCACCTGACACAGAGGTGGAGAAATATACTTTTTTTTTTTTTTTTTTTTTCTGTTTTGTTTTTTGTTTCGAGACAGGATCTCACTGTGTGACTCAATCTGGCCTTAAACTCAAAGCACAACTCAAAGCGATCCTCCTGCCTCAGCCTCCTGAGTGCTGGGGTCACAGGGCTGTGTGTGCCACCATGCCCAGACAAAATTTGTTTTATGGTGGTGTCCTTTTCTCTTTTTCATCATCAGAGCCATGTCTGAATCAGTCAGAGTCCTGTCTATCAGTACAAAGTAGATGTAGTTGGTCCCGCGGACCTGCATCACATCACTGTGGTTCCTCAGGTGGTGTTGCGGTGTGTCGCTGGTGGCCATACTTGGAGAACCGCTGGCTGGGGCCATCCCTGGACAAAGCATGGTGTCGATTTAGGAAGATCTTGCGTGATGTAGGAATGGCCGGACTTGTCTTAGCAACCACACTGCCAAAGAAAACAGCAGCAATGAGGAAATAAAAACCACACTCCCTCCCTCTGCTGCCTCAGGGCCCATGACTTTAAGCAGCTATTTCTGCGGTCGACTGTTATTGCTATTAGATCCTAAAACCTGGAAGTAGCTGTGTGAGCTGGCTGGAAGAATCCAAAGGGATGATCAGTGCTTGTTTTGTGTTCGTTTGTTTGTTTATTTGTTTTTTTTTTTTCCTGTACTGGGAATCGAACTCCAGACGTTGCACTTGCCAGGCAGGTGCTGTGCGGCTGAGCTAAATCCCCAGCCCCGATCAGTGCTTGTTATGGTTGATACATTGTGTCAACTTGAGGATTCTAGAAGCTTAACTAAGTAACTGAGCAATTCTACATCCTGGGGTGCAAAGAACATGTCCTTACTGCTCTAGGATGTTGTTCTTTGTGTCAACTTGAGAAGTTTAAAAGTTCAGCTAAGTGATTCATCAGGGGGCCAGGCTCCATCCTTTGTGAACATCCTGAGCCTGTGGAAGAGGAAGGCACAGAGATGGGAGATGGTGTGGGTGTGGGCAGATAGCCCATACACAGGATAAGGAGGAAAAGAGGCTTGCTCCCCTCGCCCCTTGAGCTCTTGCTGCTTTTGCTGTCTTCTGCTGCCTTGGACTGCTGCCCATGCCATGTCACCCTGCCTTGCAGCCAGCTGATTATGGATTAAAACTTCCACAAACTGTGAGCTGAATCAACTTTTCCTTCCTGAATTTTGCGTGTCAGATATTTTGTCCCAGCAATGAGAAAAAGTAACCAAGACAATGCTCTTCCATCTTGGACCTAAACACTTCTAGACCTGGCTGCCAGGGTGTGATAAACACAGCGTTCAACACCTAGACGTCATCTCGCTATTTAAAATACGAGTGGCGGCGCTGGTGTGTTGGCATTGGCTGTGGCGTAGAGTTACATTCCACAGTGAAAGGGTCAGTGCCTAGTGAAGCATAGATATGTATATTTACTGTGTGTTGTTGTCCTTGCAGAATCTGTGCCCAGCTATACCACCAAGGTATCTTTTAGCCTTCAGCTTTGAAACCACCCACCAGAAGACTGCAAGACCTCACTGTCCTGTGGAGCTCCAAGTCCCTGTGTGTAGGTTGTGTCATTCAAGAGTCGTGACATGCTTCACGTCAAAGCCTCGGATCCACTGTTGCTGTGGTTATTAAAAAAATAACTTTCAAGCCGAGTGCGGTGGTCCAGTCCTGTGCTCCCAGCACTCCGGAGGCTGAGGCAGGCAGATTGCCATGAGTTTGAGGCCAGCCTGGGCTACATAGTGAATTCAGGGCCAGCCTGAACTGCAGAGTAAGACTTTGTCTCAAAAAAACCAAAGGAAAAACATTTCAAATTTGTCAAGTCCTCTGTGGGCTTGAAACTTGATAAATTATACATTCATATTTACATGCTCATTTATGTATTCTTGTTTGTGAGGAATGCATTTAACATTTTAATATTTTACAGAATGCATTCAGAAGTGCATTTAAAAATTACAACTTAATGACCAAATTCTGAGACCCAGTTCGTGTTTTCAGGAATCAAGGGCTAAAGGGCTGTGGAAAGAGGTTTGGACTGTTCCCCTGAGGGCTTTGTTGTTAGGAAAATGCCTTAATGCATTCTTTCTTACTGAGAATAATGCTCCTGGGGTTTGTACAGACTGCTGTCTCCAGGCATTTTAAATTGCCCTTCGGCAGTTCTAGTCTGGCTCTCCCGACAGACTTCAGGTGCAATCTGGGCCTGCACGGGCTGAGATGCTCCAATGGCCTCGTGGCCCCAGAGGTCTGGCTGGTCCCAGGGAGTGTGGAGTGCCCGTGTGTTTGCCCCGGTGCCCACCTTGGGGACCTGGGGCGTCCTTCAGGATGAGGAGCAGAGGCTGTGTCCTCAGGGCTGGGTCATCCATGGTGGCCATATACAGCAGGGGACATGGGCAGGTCTCCTGGACGAGTCCCCAGCAGGAGCTCCTAGGGGGTCCCGCAGCGCAGCTGTGCCCTCGGCCTCCATGGTTGGTAACTCTTACAGATGGACTAAACGCCAAAGACAGCCCTCCTGGGGCTTGGATTTTTCCAGCACGGTGTACCAAGTCTTACTTGCTTCCGCTGTCCTGGGCTAAAACAAACAGGAATGGCCTATTGTCTGGAGAAGTGTATGTCACTAGCTTTGGTGATTAAGAAGGAAAATCTGGGTGTTGTTACCCATACGGCCTGGCCTGGGGCTCCTGAGCCCTGCAGCAGAGACTGCCGCCACCCAGCAGCTAACTCCAAAATGGAATTTAACTCAAACAGCTGCCGTGGCAGACAGCCAGGTGTAGCCAAGGTGAGGTTTGGAAAGTTTATCTGGGGTGGAAATAAAGGGTAATTTTTATTTTCTCCTACTAGAAGAACTAAGCTGTTCCCTGAGGCACACACTTAGGAAGGGTTCTGTGGTATTCTGTCCATGTGAATCTTTCGGATTCCTCCAGATGTTTTATCATTCACAACTGCAAAGTAAGCAGAGCACGGTGAGCCCACATGGCAGCGCCATGATAGAGGACTGCCTGGGTTGGAGCAAACGCTGAGGAGCAGGTTAAAGATAAAAGAGAGGAAAACGAGAACCCTCGTTTGTCAAGCCTTAGACAACTGTGTTTTTCTTCTTAACGTTTAAAGAAGTAAAATTCAAATTTAGTCGTTGTACTATAGGGAGGGTTTTGGAATTTTGTGTCCTGTCAAAATACGTTAAATATGGCCAAATGGAAACAATGTGCAAAAAGGGAGTGGTGGGGGCTTTTGTGCAATTGCACTGCCCATAATTTATGCACATCTTATTTCAATAAAACCAGTCTTTTGTGTAAAAGCCTTGCCTCAGTGTCACATACAAACACAGCATCAGTATATCACTATTTCATGTTGTGCAATAGTCCCAAACACGCATAGTATTTGAATATATTTATAGCGATGCTATTTAATTATTCATACAAATGTGAAAATGCATGCATTTCCATAATATGCGTATCAGTGGAAATGGCGTGCAGATGAGAAAATGTTCCTTGATGCATACGGACTGCCACGTAAGTCGGAAAGGCTGGTCACACAGTGGAAGAGACGTAGGAACGTTAATGAGCAAAACAAGATATTCTTAGAGGACATGTGTTCTGGTTTCAAAAGTTTATTAATATATCCTTTTTTGAGATCTCTCTCCTATCACCTACCCATGGGCTCATGGCCGAGGCCCCTCTGGTAAAAGCCAGTAACAAGAGAAAAATTTACACATTTCTGTAACACCAGTTTTATGCGACTTGGGACCCTCTGGAAATGAAGACCCAAAGAAATAGGTAAATGTATGCTTGTTTTGGAGATAGGGTCTTGCTATGAAGTTCCATATATACTCACTATGCAGCCCAGGCTGGCTTTGACTCACAGTGATCCTCCTGCCTCAGCCTCCGAGGGCTGGGATTGCAGGTGTGCCCTGGTGTGTGTTCATTTTTTAGTACTAAGTTTAATGAAGAGAGAGTGGTGGAGAAATACGATTGGAGAATAGAATATGCATGGATGAATGGTAATAAGGCTGGGGCAGTTCTCCAAAGTCATTCCGGATTCTTCTTGGTGCCTCTGGGAAGATAAGGACTTTCCTTGTCTTTGGGGACAGACAGGGTACTTTCGGAGTGAGGGTCTCAGGAACTACTAGAGAGAGGAGGTCAGAGAATTCTTGTCTATCGAATTTGGGAGACCTGCCTGCCTCTGCCGTTTTCTCAAATGCTACAGTGCTGCATTTCCGGTACTATGTCCTCAACCCCTCAGGAGGTAGGGGAGAAAGTCACCGAGGCGAAGTCCTTGAGTAGTGCATTTTAATTAAGAACAGATGCACGCCGGGTTTCCCAGACACAGCTTCCAGTTCAGTTTCCCCGGAGCCCACTGGGAAGCTTTGGCGGCTCTGCTCCGGCCCTCGCTGCAAGTCCTCGCCATTCAGTTTGTTCATACAGTGAGTAGAACCCCCACTCACCCCATCCAGGCTGGAATTGCAGATGGGTCCAACTGGCTTTTTTTTTTTTTTTTTTCGTCTTTTTGAGACAGGGTCTCACTGTGCAGTTCAGGCTGGCCTTGAGCTCACTTTGTAGCCCAGGCTGGACTTGAACTTGCAACGATCCTCCTGCCTCAGCCTCCTAAGTCCTGGGATTACAGGTGTGCGCCACCATGCCCGGCCCCAACTGGCTTTTTGTCTGCAGAAAAGACAAGGGTCGCTTCGGTCCTGATGAGTGGGTGTGGGAGGAGCCGACTCTTTCCCACGCCTTTGCTTTTCCCTGGAAAAGACACAGGGGCCTCAGCTCCCGCTCGCTTGAGCTCTGTTCTGCGGGGCAGGCCCTGCTCGCACGACCCACTTAGAGCGAGAGCTCCTGTGGCACTCAGCCTTCTTCTACCCTGAAGGTCCGGGAAAAGGATTCACCCTCCCTGAAGACAAGCTTCCCCTGTCAAGTGTGATTAGCAGCAATGCAGGACATTCGGGAGGATGGAAACGAGTCACAAACAGAAGGAAGAGGTGGCCTCGTGGACCCTCACAAGGACGGGTCCCTGCTGGCACTTCGGCCAGGGTCCATGTGGCAGGACAAACGTGGCACCGAGTGACCACCAGGGTGCTTGCCAAACACGAGTTCAGGCAGTAAGTGTCACACTCTTATAAGTTATGTTGAGACTGAATCTTGCTATGCTGCCCAGGCTGGCCTTGAGTTTGCAATCTCCCTGCCTCAGCCTCCCGAGCAGCTGTGATTACAGGTGTGCGCCAGCACGGCCGGCAAAGACTGTCCACTTTTCAGGACCCCTGTGGTTATACTGGGTCCACCTGGATAACCCAGGATGATCTCCCATCTCCAGTCCTTAACCTGAATAATACCCCCCCCCCCCCCGTCCTCGTGCCATCGACGGTAACACCGTCATGGGGTCTGAAGACTGGGACTTACTTTTAATCTCAGGAGGCCACATCTAAACTTGAAACATGAGATGGTGTCTCACTGTAATTTTAACAGGTGACTCAAACATCTCCCTTGTGAGGACCAGCAATATCTTCAGAATGAAAAATTTCTCAAGGCACTGACTGCAGTACAGTCTAAGTCTCAGGCGAGGCAAGTTGGACTTAGCATCACTCAGAATATTTATGGAAGAAATTGGTCGTCACTGGGAACCGCACCCAAGAATGGCGTGGGGTGGAAGAACTTGCGTTGATTATGAAATTCACCTGGGGTGGGGCACAAGTGGATATAGACAGGAGTCAGCGCTGACAGAACTGTCACTCCGCGGGAAGGAGGGATGCCCAAGGGTGAGCACCAGCCTTTACCGACAAGCTGCTAAGCCACAGCCTAATCCCAGGGAGCTGGCTGCCTGCAGGCCAGGGTGAGGCCGTAAATCTGTCCCAAACAAGCCCAGGTTCCTGCTTCTATGACGTTTATTTTTAGGTCTGAATTTTGAAGGGCACCGACCCTCTTTGACCCCCTCCCTGCACAAGATTATCTGGGCAGAAACTGCTGCATTTATCTGTGCGACTCTTGACTAAAAACCTAATAACCACTGATGACAGTTTTCTTATTTCAAGCCTTTCCCGAAACTGGAAGAATAAGGACAGATTTAAGGAAGAGATGACTGGGCCTAGCATGGTGGTACAAACCTGTAACCACAGCACTCTGGGAGGCTGAGGCTGAGGCAGGAGGATCACACGATTTTTATGAGATAGGACCTTACTATGTAGCCCAGGCTGGCCTCAAACTCTCCATGATCCTCCTGCCTCAGCCTCCCAAGTGCTGGGATTACAGGTGTGCGCCACCACGCCCGGCTAGGATCACAAATCTGAGTCCCATGGGCTGCAAGTGTCTGACTCAGGAGAGCCCTCGTGCCCTCTACCTAGTGTACATTTCTCTCCACCGCTGCCCTGGACTCAGATTGTGACGAGCATGCTTATTTTTCTCTATTTTGGAATCTTACCTCCAGCTTAGCACCCTTGGGAGGTGGTACAAACCTCAAGGAGCGGGACCACGAGCGCTAGGGCCGTTGGGGACGCGTGCTTGGGGTGGGGGACTGTGGGACCCGGCCTTTTCCTTCTTCTTTTCACTTCCTCGCAGTGCAGGGAGTGGCTTGGCTCTGCTGCCTGCTACCGAGACATGCGCGCTGACACAGCCCAACAGCAAGAGGGTCAACCTGTCATGGACGGAGACTTCCTGCCACAACGG